TCGGCAACTGCAGGAGCCATATGGTTGTCGCTTTATTGTATGAAATGCAATCACCATGTAATTGCTTTACTTTATCACTAAGCGGTAGCGATAGTTGTTACCTCTTGAGCATGCATTGGTTTTCCCTTGAAGAGGAAAGGGTGATGCAGCAAAGTAGCGTAAGTATTTCCCTCAGTTTTTGAGAACCAAGGTATCAATCCAGTAGGAGATTACACGAAGTCGCCTAGTACCTGCACAAACAATCAAGAACCTTGCAACCAACGCGGTAAAGGGGTTGTCAATCCCTTCACGGCCACTTGCAAAAGTGAGATCTGATAAAGATAATAAGATAAATATTTTTGGTATTTTTGTTGTATAGATTGAAAAGTAAAGATATCAAAATAAAATAAATAGTAAACTAGAATTGTAGATCGGAAACTTATATGATATAAAATAGACCCGGGGCCCATAGGTTTTACTAGTGGCTTCTCTCATGATAGCATGTATTACGGTGAGTGAACAAATTACTGTCGAGCAATTGATAGAAAAGCACATAGTTATGAGAATATCTAGGCAATGATTATGAACATAGGCATCATGTCCGTGTTAAGTAGACTGAAACGATTCTGCATCTACTACTATTACTCCACACATCGTTCGCTATCCAGCATGCATCTAGAGTATTAAGTTCATAAGAACAGAGTAATGCTTTAGGCAAGATGACATGATGTAGAGGGATAATCTCAAGCAATATGATATAAACCCCATATTTTTATCCTCGATGGCAATAATACAATACATGCCTTGCTGCCCCTACTGTCACTGGGAAAGGACACCGCAAGATTGAACCCAAAGCTAAGCACTTCTCCCATTGCAAGAAAGATCAATCTAGTAGGCCAAACTAAACCGATAATTCGAAGAGACTTGCAAAGATATCAAATGATGCATATAAGAATTCAGAGAAGCACCAAATATTGTTCATAGATAAACTTTATCATAAATCCACAATTCATCGGATCTCGGCAAACACACCGCAAAAGAATATTACATCGAATAGATCTCCAAGAACATCAAGGAGAACTTTGTATTGAGAACCAAAGAGAGAGAAGAACCCATCTAGCTAATAACTATGGGCCCGAAGGTCTGTGGTAAACTACTCACACATTACCGGAGAGGCTATGGTGTTGATGTACAAGCCCTCCGTGATCGATTCCCCCTCCGGCAGATCGCCGGAAAAGGTCCCTAGATGGGATCTTACGGGTACAGAAGGTTGTGGTGGTGGAAAAGTGGTTTCGTGGCTCTTCCGGATGTTTTTAGGGTATAAGAGTATATATAGGCGAAAGAAGTATGTTGGTGGAGCTATGAGGGGCCCACGAGGGTGGGGGCGCGCCTACCCCCCATGGGCGCGCCCTCCTGCCTCGTGGCCACCTCGTTGTGTGTATGACTTCCACTCCAAGTCTCCTGGATTGCGTTTGTTCCAAGAAAGTTCCTCGCGAAGGTTTCATTCCATTTGGATTCTGTTTGATATTCCTTTTCTGCGAAACACTGAAATAGGCAAAAAAACAATAATTTGCACTAGGCCTTGGGTTAGTAGGTTAGTCCCAAAAATATTATAAAAGTGTATAATAAAGCCCATTAAACATCCAAAACAAATAATATAATAGCATGGAACAATCAAAAATTATAGATACATTGGAGACGTATCAGCATCCCCAAGCTTAATTATTGCTCGTCCTCGAGTAGGTAAATGATAAAAACATAATTTTTGATGTGGAATGCTTCCTAACATAATTTTCAATGTAATTTTCTTTATTGTGGCATGAATATTCAGATCCGAAAGATTCAAGACAAAATTTTAATATTGACATAAAAATAATAATACTTCAAGCATATTAACCAAGCAATTATGTCTTCTCAAAATAACATAGCCAAAGAAAGCTCATCCCTACAAAATCATATAGTTTGGCCATGCTTCATTTTCGCCACACAAAATGCTCCCATCATGCACAACCCCGATGACAAGCCAAGCAATTGTTTTATACTTTAGTATTTTCAAACCTTTTCAACTTTCACGCAATACATGAGCGCGAGCCATGGACATAGCACTATAGGTGGAATAGAATATGATGATGGAGGTTGTGTGGAGAAGACAAAAAAGGAGAAAGTCTCACATGGACGCGACTAATCAACGGGCTATGGAGATGCCCATCAATTGATGTCAATGTGAGGAGTAGGGATTGCCATGCAACAGATGCACTAGAGCTATAAATGTATGAAAGCTCAACAAAAGAAACTAAGTGGGTGTGCATCCAACTTGCTTGCTCACGAAGACCTAGGGCATTTTGAGGAAGCCCATTGTTGGAATATACAAGCCAAGTTCTATAATGAAAATTCCCACTAGTATATGAAAGTGACAAAATAAGAGACTCTCTATCATGAAGATCATGGTGCTACTTTGAAGCACAAGTGTGGGAAAAGGATAGTAACATTGTCCCTTCTTTCTTTTTCTCTCATTTTTTGGGCCTTCTCTTTTTTTATTTGGCCTTTATCTCTCCTTTTTTATTTCCTCACACGGGACAATGCTCTAATAATGATGATCATCACACTTCTATTTGTTTACAACTCAAAAATTACAACTCGATACTAGAACAAAATATGACTCTATATGAATGCTTCCGGCGGTGTACCGGGATGTGCAATGATTCAAGAGTGACATGTATAAAACAAATTATGAGCGGTAGCTTTGTCACAAATACTATGTCAACTACATGATCATGCAAGGCAATATGACAATGATGAATCGTGTCATAATAAATGGAACGGTGGAAAGTTGCATGGCAATATATCTCAGAATGGCTATGGAAATGCCATAATAGGTAGGTATGGTGGCTGTTTTGAGGAAGATATAAGGAGGCTTATGTGTGATAGAGTGTATCATATCATGGGGTTTGGATGCACCGGCGAAGTTGCACCAACTATCGAGGTGAGAAAGGGCAACACACGGTACCGAAGAGGCTAGCAATGATGGAAGGGTGGGAGTGTGTATAATCCATGGACTCAACATTAGTCATAAAGAACTCACATACTTATTGCAAAAATCTACAAGTCATCAAAACCAAGCACTGTGCGCATGCTCCTAGGGGGATAGATTGGTAGGAAAAGACCATCGCTCATCCCCGACCGCCACTCATAAGGAGGACAATCAAAGAAACACCTCATGCTTCAAATTTGTTACGCAACGGTTACAATACGTGCATGCTACGTGACTTGCAAACCTCAACACAAGTATTTCTCAAATTCACAAATACTCAACTAGCATGACTCTAATATCACCATTTTCATATCTCAAAACAACCATCAAGTATCAAACTTCTCATAGTATTCAATGCACTCTATATGAAAGTTTTTATTATACCCATCTTGGATGCCTATCATATTAGGACTAATTTCATAACCAAAGCAAATTACCATGCTATTCTAAAATACTCTCAAAATAATATAAGTGAAGCATGAGAGATCAATAATTTCTATAAAATAAAACCACCACCGTGCTCTAAAAAGATATAAGTGAAGCACTAGAGCAAAATTATCTAGCTCAAAAGATATAAGTGAAGCACATAGAGTATTCTAATAAATTCCGATTCATGTGTGTCTCTCCCAAAAGGTGTGTACAGCAAGGATGATGGTGGTAAACTAAAAGGCAAAGACTCAAATCATACAAGATTGTGACGCCCAGAGACCGATGCTCCAGATGCCTTCCATGTCTTGCTTGTCAGCTGTGTTATTTGTTTGTTTGTTTGCATTCATCATGGCATCATTTGCATTGCATCGGCACTTGTTGTCGTCATTGTTTTTAAACTTGCATCCGCTCGTAGCTGCCACATCCCCCCTTGCTTTTGTTGACCGTTCGAAGACCAACCTTGTTCTTTGTTTTCCCTCTTACCTAAACTGGAGTCTCTTTGCACAGTGCATCAACCCCTCCATTGTCTCTTTCTCAACTTCATCTTCTTCTACACCCACAACCGTGCTTCATCATCTTCTTCTCCTTCTTCGTTAATCCATTTAAATTGTGGTATTCTATTTCCTGCACCAATTTAATGTTCATTCTTTTCCTATAATTTTTGGACAATGCCACTTACCTCTCGGCCTAATCTCATCTTTTCTGAGTTGTTTTGGTTGGGTTCAAAAATGGCTCGAGTTTGAATTTAATTCAAACTTGAATTATTTTTCTATCTCTAAAATGTCCAAAACATTTTAATCAAATTGTGCATATTACTAGGACTCCATAAATATCTTCATCTCTACCAAATTCCATCCCTAACCCTCTCTTTCTATTTTTCTTCTTCTATCTATTTTCTTTTCTCTTAATGGTTAAGAGAAGAGAGTAGAGAGAGAGAGAGCCCAGCCAACGAGGCCCAACCAACAACTCACCCATATCCTGCAGGGCCGCAAACCTGCAGCTGGGCCGGCCTTTAGGCCCAGCTGCCCCACCTACACCTAACCCTAGCGAACCCCTAGGCCCGACCGAACCCTCATCCTCTCCCTCGTTCCCTCGCGCCGCGTCCTACCCGATCGATATCTCCCTCTCCCTCGTCTCCACCCTGTCGCCACGAGAGCGCACCCGCATCGCTCGATCCCCTCCTCCTCTCTACCACCTCGACCACTCACTTTTCCCCTCGTCCTCCCTCCAGCGCCGCGCTGCACCCGTACCCCTCCTCCTCTCTTCCACCTTGACCGCTCACTTTTCCCCTCGTCCTCCCTCCAACGCCGCGCCGCGCCCGAACCCCTCGTCCTTCTCCTCCGGCCGCTGCAGATTTCCTCGCGGCATACCCGCCACCGCCTAACCTTGCCCGTCCTGCTCCTCTCTGCTCCTCCGCGGGAGTCGTCCCAAGCTCGCCGCGCTGCCGCATCGCTAGGGACACCGAGCGCCACCTCGCAACTCCGCCGGTGACTTCGACCTCCGTGCCTCGTCCTCAGCGCCTCGTCCCCGAGCACCGAGTTGCCGCTGCCTTGCTCCTCCCTCACCGTCGTCTCGCCAGTGAGCAGCAGTAGGAGGTTGTCCTCGTCGCCGCCGCGACTAGCAGGAACTTGTCCGCCTCTGCCCGTCCTCTATTCCCGCCTGCACGCCTCCACCGTCGCAGGACCTTCTCACTGCCAGCAAGCATCCACACCTCTGCCTCATCGCCGCTCCTCCTCCCGCTCATCTCCGACGCCAGGAGCCCGAGCCCCGACCACCTGCGACCCTGCCTGCACTGAACGTCCCCGGACAGGAGCAATTTTGAACTGCCAAGTACCCTTGGATTCGTCAAGACCGCCAAGTACCACGACCCGCAAGACCAACGATGCCCGAACGAGTGCTCCCGACCGAGACATTTGTGCTGCTATATTTTGGACACGCCAAGTCCCTCGGGTCGGATGCGTCAAGACCGCCCCGGTTGTTGCGAAGTACCACGACGTCCGGAGTCCTCGGATCCGTCAAGTTCCACTATGAGATGTACAATTACCGTTGACCCCGAAGACCTCGGATTCACCAAGTTCCCACGACGACAAGTGTAACTCGTCGGATCCCCAAGTTCGGTTACCGCCGCAACCGTGTACAACTAATTCCACGAGGATACCAGAACAACTACCGCCGTTGAAGGTCGTTGAGTGAACAAACTACCGACGACGTGTACGAGTACTCCGTGAACGTGTACCACTACCGGCGAGGACCGATAGTACCACTACTTCTATGATCATCGCGGAACGACTACTTCCTCTACTTCCCTCGACGGACTCGACCCCTCCCGTTTGCATGCTTTGAAGGTATAACCCCGAGACGACGCCCGTGAACAAATGAATACATGTTGTATGAGATGCACCCTTGTTCGCCTCGAGTCCGAACTGTCGGTGCATGTTACCCCTCTTTTGCCTTGCCACCGACATGTGGGACACCCGGTATCCGGGATCACTCCCCGTCACTCTTGCACGTTTCGCGCACCCACACTTGTTCCTTTGCACCAGCATCTCAATTGAGTTGCCGGATCACCGGAATGTTGCCATGGTAACATTTCCGCTTTGCCGCCGTGGCACCCTTTTTTCCTTCCGCCGTGGTGACAAATGCCTCATATCTTATCATGTCAACATTTCCATAAAACTTGCATAAACTTGCACATGTCATCCGCATCATGATAATAACATTTAACATGTTTAAAATTGTTGTTGCATTAAATTGCTAATGCACATGAGGATATACCGGAATTGTTGTTTGATGTTTCCGACCTCATTTAAAATGCCTAACTGTGTATTCTACTCATGTTTCACCTCTTGCCATGTTTAGAACATTTAATTTTGTTGGGTACATAACCGGGAGTGAACTAAACAATTAATGTGGTGTTTCGACAATATGCAACTCGTTGCATATTGAGCCCCACTTAACTTGTAGTATTGTTTGTGCACTTTGCCATGCAATGCCTCATTAAACCGGACATGCATCATACTTGGTTGTGCATCATGCCATGTTTATGTGATGGTTGTTTACTATGTTGCCTGCTTCTTTTTGGGTTGCTTCTCTCGTTAGCTTTGGTTTCGTTCCGGAGTTGTGAGGATTCGTTCGCCTACGCCCGTTTGTCTTCTTCATGAACTCGTTCTTCTTCCTTGCGGGATCTCAGGCAAGATGACCATACCCTCGAAATCACTTCTATCTTTGCTTGCTAGTTGTTCGCTCTATCGCTATGTCGCGCTACCTACCACTTGTTATATCATGCCTCCCATATTGCCATGTCCATCCTCTAACCCTCCTTCCTAGAAAACCGCTGTTTGGCTAAGTTATCGCTTTTGCTCAGCCCCTCTTATAGCGTTGTTAGTTGCAGGTGAAGCTGAAGATTGTTCCATGTTGAAACATGGATATGTTGGGATATCACAATATCTCTTATTTAATTTAATGCATCTATATACTTGGTAAATGGTGGAAGGCTCGGCCTTATTCCTGGTTTTTTTCCCACTCTTGCTGCCCTAGTTTCCGTCATACCGGTGTTATATTCCTTGATTTTGCGTTCCTCACGCGGTTGCGTGTTATGGGAACCCCTTGACAGTTCGCTTTGAATAAAACTCCTCCAGCAAGGCCCAACCTTGGTTTTACATTTGCCTAACAACCTAAGCCTTTTTCCCTTGGGTTTCCGGAGCCCGAAGGTCATCTTTATTTTAACGCCCCCAGGCCAGTGCTCCTCTGAGTGTTGGTCCAAACTAGAGCCCCTTGCAGCGCCACCTTGGGGAAACTTGAGGGTTGGTTTTAGTTGTACGGACTGCTCATCTGGTGTGCCCTAAGAACGAGATATGTGCAGCTCCTATCGGGATTTGTCGGCACATTCGGGCAGCTTTGCTGGTCTTGTTTTACCTTTGTCGAAATGTCTTGTAACCGAGATTCCGAGTTTGATCGGGTCTTCCTGGGAGAAGGAATATCCTTCATTGACCGTGAGAGCTTGTGATGGGCTAAGTTGGGACACCCCTGCAGGGTTTGAACTTTTGAAAGCCATGCCCGTGGTTATGTGGCAGATGGGAATTTGTTAATATCCGGTTGTAGAGAACTTGACACTTAACTTAATTAAAAATGCATCAACCATGTGTGTAGCCGTGATGGTCCCTTTTCGGCGGAGTCCGGAAGTGAACACGGTTCTTGTGTTATGTTTGAACGTAAGTAGTTTCAGGATCACTTCTTGATCCCTTCTAGCTTCTCGACCATGCGCTGCTTCTCTTCTCGCTCTTATTTGCGTATGTTAGCCACCATATATGCTTAGTGCTTGCTGCAGCTCCACCTCATTACCTTACCCTACCCATAATCTTAAATAGTCTTGATCTCGTGGGTGTGAGATTGCTGAGTCCTCGTGACTCACAAATACTTCCAGACAGTTGCAGGTGCCGATGATACCAGTGTAGGTGACGCCACCCAACTCAAGTGGGTGCTCGATGAAGTTCTTGATCGTTGTTTTGTTTCATTTCCTATTGAGTAGTAGTGGAGCCCAGTTGGGTCGATCAGGGATCTAGCATTTGGGGTTGTCTTCTTTTACTTTGGTTCCGTAGTCGGACCTTGTTTGTATTCTGGATGATGTATGTTTAACTTGTATTTGTGTGAAGTGGCGATTGTAAGCCGACTCTTTATCCCTTTCTTATTTAGTACGTGGGATGTGTAAAGATTACCCCTCTTGCGACATGCCTACCATGCGGCTATGCCTCTAAGTCGTGCCCCGACACGTGGGAGATATAGCCGCATTGTGGGTGTTACAAGTTGGTAATCAGAGCCATCCCCGACTTAGGAGCCCCCTACTTGATCGAATCGCTGATGTTGTTGTGTTTAGAACAAAATATTTTGAGTCTTAGGATTATATATATCGGAGAGTAGGATTCTTTTTACTCCTATGTCCCTTCGTCGCTCTGGTGAGGCCTCCTGACATAAAAGTTTTGACTCTTCTCTCCTCAAATTTCACGATTTATTTAGGATCACGCGGGTATCTTGGAATCGTTCCGATGATTTTGTGATGTGAACATTGTTCTTGGTGCCTCCTGACATTTAGGGGTTGTGGTAGTGTCCCGGGGAGTTGAGCTCCGAGGTGTTGTCGTCACAATTTTATCGTTGCAGTTCTGGAATACCTGAGTTCGCCGACATCGAAAATCTCTTTTATGTAGTTGTTGGTGAGATAACCTCGACGCCACCCAGTACTGGGGCGGGAGTTCGGGAGTATTGCCATAACTCGTACAACGGATGCTTTTCGAAGGTTGAGGTAAATGATTTCCGAAGATTTCTTGGTTATGTGTTGAAGGATGGATACAAGTGGATGTAGGACTTGTTATTTTTGGGTGAGATATTATGCTTCCCTTGTACCCCAACACCTGATTGCATAACTAGAAAGTTTCGGGAGTTTATAAGTGGAAATTCAAGTATCTCGTAGGATATCTTTCCAACAGACACATGATACGATATGGGATCTATCATATGTTTGTTTCCGGCTTATTTTGCAAGCCAATCCTTTCTTTTGTTTTGAGTTGTGGTATTCGAGTTGCTCCATGCCTTTCCTAAGCTATGTTCTCATACTTCTATGTGAATACCAATCCTTCTTGATAATCGAGATTGTCATGTCAATCCTTTTTTCAACCTGCGTGTTTCTTCAAGTGGATCCGATCATTTCAACATCTGCAAGATCAATTATCAGTTCTTATCAACGGTGCTCATTTCATCTGTCCCAAGATGCCTTTGTTTTCCTGCCCTCCCACCCTTTTCCTTCAAGGGTTCGGATTTCTTAATCAACTATCATGTTATTGATGTGAAGTTTCTTCATTCTTTTCCTTCAAAGTTCATACCCGGTGATTCTCATGAAGATGCTAAGGAAGCATCAAGCTCATTATTCTTCATTCTTTTCTTCTCCAATGGGTTCAATTTCAAGCTTTGTCGATCATATCTTTTCCTCGTTGCAAATGCTTTCTCATGCCGGTGCACCTCTTAATCATTCCCCGCTTGCTATTCAATTGTTCCGGAGTGCTTGCATGTACTTCTTGTCCATTGCAACCCTTTTCGTATGTCTTTCAACATACAAGGTTCTAGTTATGTTCCTTGTTCCTCTTTTCTAACGGAGTGTTTTCAACTTTGTTCATCTTCGCCGTATTCTTTCTTTCAATTTGTTCAACCTCTCAAGGTTCTTTGGTTTCACCCGTTTGTCAAAGAAGAAGCTTAGTTTTACCTTTTCTCTTCCTCTTCCTTTTCTCCGGTGCCATCCTAGATCTCGGGACGAGATCCTCTCGTAGTGGTGGAGTGTTGTGACGCCCCGACACCGATGCTCCAGATACCTTCCATGTCTTGCGTGTCAACTGTGTTATTTATTTGTTTGTTTGCATTCATCATGTCATCATTTGCATTGCATTGGCACTTGCTGCCGTCATTGTTTTTAAACTTGCATCTGCCCGTAGCTGCCACGTACCCCCCTTGCTTTTGTTGACCGTTCGAAGACCAACCTTGTTCTTTGTTTTCCCTCTTCCCTAAACCGGAGTCTCTTTGCACAATGCATCAACCCCTGCATTGTCTCTTTCTCAACTTCATCTTCTTCTACACCCACAACTGTGCTTTATCATCTTCTTCTCCTTCGTTAATCCATTTAAATTGTGGTATTCTATTTCCTGCACCAATTTAATGTTCATTCTTTTCCTATAATTTTTGGACAATGCCACTTACCTCTCGGCCTAATCTCATCTTTTCCGAGTTGTTTTGGTTGGGTTCAAAAATGGCTCAAGTTTGAATTTAATTCAAACTTGAATTATTTTTCTATCTCTAAAATGTCCAAAACATTTTAATCAAATTGTGCATATTACCAGGACTGCATCTCCATAAATATCTTCATCTCTACCAAATTCCATCCCTAACCCTCTCTTTCTATTTTTCTTCTTCTATCTATTTTCTTTTCTCTTAATGGTTAAGAGAAGAGAGTAGAGAGAGAGAGCCCAGCCAACGAGGCCCAACCAACAACTCACCCATACCTGCAGGCCGCAAACCTGCAGCTGGGACGGCCTTTAGGCCCAGCCGCCCCACCTACACCTAACCCTAGCGAACCCCTAGGTCCGACCGAACCCTCGTCCTCTCCCTCGTTCCCTCGCGCCGCCTCCTACCCGATCGATCTCTCCCTCTCCCTCGTCGAGAGCACACCCCCATCGCTCGATCCCCTCCTCCTCTCTTCCACCTCGACCGCTCACTTTTCCCCTCGTCCTCCCTCCAGCGCCGCGCTGCACCCGAACCCCTCGTCCTTCTCCTCTGGCTGCTGCAGCTTTCCTCGCGGCATCCCCGCCGCCGCCTAACCTTGCCCGACCTGCTCCTCTCTGCTCCTTCGCGGGAGTTGTCCCGAGATCGTCGCGCTGCCGCATCGCCAGGGACATCGAGCGCCACCTCGCAACTCCACCGGCGACTTCGACCTCCATGCCTCGTCCTCGGCGCCTCATCTTTAGCTCCGAGTTGCCGCCGCCTTGCTCCTCCCTCGTCGTCCTCTCGCCGGTGAGCAGCACCAGTAGGCTGTCCTCGCCGCCACCGCGACCAGTAGGAACTCATCCGCCTTTGCCCGTCCTTTGTTCCCGCTTGCATGCCTCCACCGCCGCAGGACCTTCTCGCTGCCAGCAAGCATCCGCACCTCCGCCTTGTCGCTACTCCTCCTCCCACTCATCTCCGACGCCACGGAGCCCGAGCCCCGACCACCTGCGACCCTGCCTCCACTGAACGTCCCCGGACAGGAGCAATTTTGAACTGCCAAGTACCCTTGGATTCGTCAAGACTGCCAAGTACCACGACCCGCAAGACCAATGATGCCCGAACGAGTGCTCCCGAACGAGACATTTGTGCTGCTACGTTTTGGACACGCCAAGTACCTCGGGTCGGATGCGTCAAGACTGCCCCGGTTGTTGTGAAGTACCACGACGTCCGGTGTCCTCGGATCCGTCAAGTTCCACTATGAGATGTACAACTACCGTCGACCCCGAAGACCTCGGATTCACCAAGTTCCCACGACGACAAGTGTAACCCATCGGATCGCCAAGTTCGGTTATCGTCGCAACCGTGTACAAGTACTTCCACGAGGATACCAGAACAACTACCGCCGTTGAAGGTCGTTGAGTGAACAAACTACCGACGACGTGTACGACTACTCCGTGAACGTGTACCACTACCGGCGAGGACCGATAGTACCACTACTTCTACGATCATCGCGGAACAACTACTTCCTCTACTTCCCTCAACGAACTCGAACCCTCCCGTTTGCACGCTTTGAAGGTATAACCCCGAGACGACGCCCGTGAACGAATGAATGCATGTTGGATGAGATGCACCCTTGTTCACCTCGAGTCCGAACTGTCGGTGCACGTTGCCCCTCTTTTGCCTTGCCACCGACATGTGGGACACCCGGTATCCGGGATCACTCCCCGTCACTCTTGCACGTTTCGCGCACCCACACTTGTTCCTTTGCACCAACATCTCAATTGAGTTGCCGGATCACCGGAATGTTGCCATGGTAACATTTCCGTTTCGTCGCCATGGCACCCCTTTTCCTTCCGCCATGGCGACAAATGCCTCATATCTTATCATGTCATCATTTCCATAAAACTTCCAAAAACTTGCACATGTCATCCGCATCATGATAATAACATTTAAAATGTTTAAAATTGTTGTTGCATTAAATTGCTAATGCACATGAGGATATACCGGAATTGTTGTTTGATGTTTCCGGCCTCATTTATAATGCCTAACTGTGTATTCTACTCATGTTTCACCTCTTGCCATGTTAAGAACATTTAATTCTGTTGGGTACATAACTGGGAGTGAACTAAATAATTGATGTGGTGTTTCGACAATATGCAACTCGTTGCATATTGAGCCCCACTTAACTTGTAGTATTTTTTGTGCACTTTGCCATGCCATGCCTCATTAAACCGGACATGCATCATACTTGGTTTTGCGTCATGCCATGTTTATGTGATGGTTGTTTACTATGTTGCCTGCTTTTTTCCGGGT